AAGCTCTCTAATGACCTACTAACTGCAAAAACCAACAGCCACTATTCAATACTCCTACTACTCGACCTCTCCGTGGCTTTTGACACTGTTGACCATCCCCTCCTCCTCAAAAAACTACTCTTTTATCCTCAGCGACTCCGCTCTCTCCTGGTTCTCCTCCTATCTATCGCAGCGCTCCTTCAGTGTTACCTATAATGTTGCCACCTCCTCCTCACTCCCTCTCTCTGTAAGAGTTTTCCAAGGTTCTGTCCTTGGACCCCTTCTCTTCTCCATCTACACCTCCTCCCATGGTCACTTGATAAACTCCCACGGCTTCAACTACCATCTCTATGCTGATGACACGTAAATCTATCTGTCTACCCCTCACCCCTTCAGTTTCCACCCCTGTCGCTAGCCTACTAAGCGACATATCGTCCTGGATGGTACTCCCACTTCCTTAAACTCAACCTCTCTAAAACGGAGCTCCTAATATTCCCCCCTGCCCACGCTACCCCCACTGACTTCACCATAAATATCGCTAACACCATCCTCAGTCCATCCCCTCGCGCCAGGGTACCAGGTGTAATCCTAGACTCCCACCTGTCCTTCCAGCCCCAGATCCAATCGCTGACAAAATCATATAGACTTCACCTCCGCAACATCTCCAAAATACGACCGTTCCTAACCTCAGAAACCACTAAGCAACTTATTCACTCCCTTGTTATATCACACTTCGACTACTGTAACTCCCTCCTTATTGGCCTACCTCATCGTAGACTATCCCCCCTCCAGTCTATCACGAATGCTGCTGCCAGACTCATCCACCTCACTAACTGTTCTGTATCCGCCACCTCTCTCTGCCAATTCCTCCACTGGCACCCAGTTGCCCAATGGATAAAATTCAAAACCCTAACAATGACAATGACATATACAGCCATCCACAACACTGCCCCAATTTACATAACTGATCTTATATCTAAATATCACCCTAACCGTACACTCCGCTCCTCGCAAGACCTCTTACTCTCTAGCTCCCTTATCTCCTCCTCCCATGCTCCTCTCCAAGACTTCTCTAGGGTGTCACCCATCCTCTGGAACTCCTTACCCCAATCTATCAGATTATCACCTACTCTACTTGCCTTACGGCGTTCACTGAAAACCTTTCTCTTCAGGGAAGCCTATCCCGCCCTCCGCTAATTCTGGTATCCTCTACTCTTCCAACCACTCCATCCCCCACAGTGACTACCTACTGTACCACTCACCATCCCTCCTAGATTGTAAACTCCAAGGAGCAGGGCCCTCTAATCCCTCTTGTATTGAACTGTATTGTTACTGTATTGTCTCCCACTATAATGTAAAGCGCTGAGCAAACTGCTGGCGCTATATAAATCCAGTATAATAATAAATAATAATAATAATAGTGTCTGTCATCAGGTCAGATGAGAAGGTTTTTATGTCTATGGTCAATCTTATGTTTGTGTTGTTTTATTACAGTAATAATTCTCACAGACGATTATATACTGAGATATTCCTAACCTACATTACCTGGATGACATAGTTATGGGATATATAATGCATAAACACTACATCCTGTACTTGTGCTGAACATTTGTGAATTGATGAATTATGCTCTGAAGACATGTTAATACTGTGAAGATGACAGGTAATGTTTCAGGCATCAGAATGAAAACTAGAAGGATGGTAAATCAGACATCTGTCACTGGGCTTATATCTGCAAGGTACACATCACTATGAAGATGCTAGGACCAGGAAAATAAATACTGACATGGCTAACTGTTTTGAAGAGGAAATATCATGTATTGTATGTATTTGGTACACATTTCACAGCTGCCAGAGTAATATTTTTCTGAAGGAATAAAATTTTGATATAACTGCATGTTATGTCAAATTTCTAATTGTAATCAAGTTGTGATCAATGTAAGCGGAAATAATACAAAATCTAGGTATCTAAGGCTACGTTCACACTAGCCTTGTGTGCAGGCGGCAGAGAGGCGTTTGGGAAGCGTTTTTACTGCTTCCCAAACGCCTCTGCCAATTCTGCACATTACAGCACATGGTGCTGTTCTAACGGGAGCGTTTGCGTCGCGGCAAAACGGACGCCTCTGGTCGAGTCAGGAGGCTTTGAAGCCTCCTATTCTCGTCTATGGTGCCGCTCCGCAAACGCCCGGCCAGCGTTTGCGGTGCGGTTGCGACGCGGTTGCGGGGCGTTTGCGGAGCGGTAACACCACTCAAACTGCATTATAGGCATTTGTGGGGCGTTATTAACGCTCGGCAAACGCCTAGCAACCGCCACTAAACCGCGCATGCGGCGTTTGCCGAGCGTTAAAAAACGCTCCGCAAACGCCGGACCAATGCTTGCCAAACGCTATAGGGGCATTTGGCAAGCGTTGGCAAAACAGCCTAGTGTGAACGAGCCCTAAGGAATACACTAAACCAGTCGTCTATAAACTGTGGTCCGATGTGCCTCTTTGCTTGCTTTTATCAGGCACTTGGGACATTATTCCCCCCATCAGCATCAGTGAGGCATAGTTCCCGCTACTGACATCAACAATGGGGCACTATTCCTTTGCACTAACACCAATAATGAGGCATTACTCCTCTCACTGACACCAATGATGGGGCATTATTCCTCCCACTGACACCAATGATGGGGCACTATTCCTCCCACTGACACCAATAATGGGGCACTATTCCTCCCACTGACACTAATGATAGGGCACTATTCCTCCCACTGACACCAATGATGGGGCACTATTCCTCCCAATGACACTAATGATAGGGCACTATTCCTCCCACTGACACCAATAATGGGGCACTATTCCTCCCACTGACACTAATGATAGGGCACTATTCCTCCCACTGACACCAATGATGGGGCACTAGTCCTCCCACTGACACTAATGATAGGGCACTATTCCTCCCACTGACATCAATGATGGGGCACTATTCCTCCCACTGACACCAATGATGGGGCACTATTCCTCTTACTGACACTAATGATGGGGCACTATTCCTCCCACTGACATCAACAATGGGAAACTATTCCTCCTATTGATACCATTGATGGGGCACTAAATCTCCCTTTAATACCAATGATGAAGCATTGTTTACTCCCACTGATGCCAGGACATTTTCTTCACCCATTGGCCACAGTCTGGCCCCCCTAAAGTCTGAAGGACAGTAAACTGGCCCTTCTTTTATACAATTTGGAGAACCCTGCACTAAACAAAAGAAAAAATAAATCAACATGCTCATATAAAATTTATATGTAGCTAGATTAGTTTTAGAAAGGGTAGAAAAGGCATACAAACCTATATCAGGTTATTTTTTATTGCTGTCTGTGTCCCATGGGGAAGATTTCCCCTCACTTCCTGTCTTATAGCTGTACCATGAAATGAATCAAAATCTCCTCAAGTTGGGCAGAATGCCCATCTTAAGCAATTGTTACCAGTACATTTGTTCCCAGCGATCATTTGCCCTCATTTTTTGCTTTGGATTTTCCCTCTTTTGCTGCCTTGGTGATAATGGTCACTAGTAGAGATTTGCTCGAGGAGGCCAGGTCATTCCCCACCCTACAACACACATAAACAAAGGGGTGGGATGGTAATGATGTCAGAGTCATTCAATGTACACATACCCATATTTATCCAATGACACTGATTAATATGGGAAAACAAGGGGCGATGACCTGTAGAATTTATAATCGAAGGGCTGTAACACAAGCGTTTATAGACCTTCAGAAATGCAGGTCTGAAGTTTCCGATAAGCGCTGAATATGATAGGTATCTGTGTGTAATTAAAAGTGCAGTTGTTGGAGTCTTACTATTATTTGGCAACCCAAGAGTGGGTGGATGACCTGCGACTGGATGTCAATATATACAAGAGCAGCAACTTTTTTTTTTTTTTTTTTAAATAATCAGATGCAGCCACTGTTTGGGTATGTGGACACCTGGTAGGGCTGGCTGTCAAAATAAATTAGCTGCAGTGGGAGATTTGTTCATCTACGCTGTATAGCGAGAGCACAAGCAATTGGGACAGTTATTATTTATGACATGGTTTGAATCTAATTGCTTTGGAAAACAGTTAAGTTGATAGCTTTAATTCTGCTTTAGGCGTCTTGCACATGCATGTAATAATTTACTGATGTCTATCCTTGGGATCTTGTTGACAGAAAGCATGTGCATGGCATAAGCATGTGTATGCATTTACATGCGGAAAATTCTTCTTCAGCCTCTTCTAGTTGCCAGTGTTGCAATATACATGCATATTTACATAAATGACTGCACTCAAATGTAAATTGTTCCATAGACAACAATTTACCTGTGTTCAATAAAGCCTTTTTACTTTCTGGTGGTATGGCCCTTTACAGTGGCCTGTGCCAGATTCCAAAATCCCTGTGCACATTTTCAGTATCTTTACCAACATGTGTGGCAGATTCAGGTAGTTCTTAATAGTGAAACTTTTACAAAGTGGAGCTATTATTGCACCAAATTCAAATACATAATGAAATTGGAGGTAATTAAGACCAGCTCTAACATGGCATACAGAGACAGGTAGAGTGCCTGTCTCTGTGTTCTGTGTAGCAGGTGGCATGTTTTATGCAGCTATCACCTCTCCACCTGTCATTGGTTGTTAACGAGAATGCTGGCTTCACAGCTGACAGCCTGCTAGCAGCTAGTGACACTGTCAGTGGCTGGAGGCTGATGGGGTAGCTCAGACACTAGTTCCCCATCAGGTATGCTTTCTCCTTGTGATTGACAACCAGGGGCGGACTGTCCATTTGGAAACTCGGGCACTGCCCGAGGGCCCGGGGTCAGTAGGGGGCCCCATGAGATGCCCCTGGTACCTTTTTCATGGGCTTTGAGTTTGGGCAAGGACACAGGGGCCCCATGATCCCCTATTGCCCGGGGGCCCCATGAGTTGTCAGTCCGCCCCTGTTGACAACAGACAGTGGGTGAATTCTATAGCCAGTAACAGGGTGTCTATTGACTTTGGATCTGCCCACTGCATGTTGTCAATAAGAAGTGGACCTGATGGGGAACTGGTGTCTCTGAATCCCCTTTGCCAACCCAGATTTCAAAATACTTGTTGCTGTGCTTGTGGGTAGGGCAGGGGCGGACTGACAACTCATGGGGCCCCTGGGCAATAGGGGATCATGGGGCCCCTGTGTCCTTGCCCAAACTCCAAAAAACCTATGAAAAAGGTACCAGGGGCATCTCATGTGGCCCCCTACTGACCCCAGGCCCTCGGGTAATGCCCGAGTTTCCAAATGGTCAGTCCGCACCTGGGGCAGGGTCAGAAATGATGTACCCAAAGAGTAGGAACAACACACAGTGTTCAGAACAGAGTTCGAAGATTCTTGCATTGTAGGGTTGTAGGTGAACAGTCAACAGAACCACAGCAATCTGCAATCATTTGCACTAGTACAATGGCTATTGCAACTGCAGCACACTCTTGAAGTAACAGTTCCAAACAATATGGTGTTCACAAACCGGCAACACGGTTGGGAAACTAGTATTCTGGCTGTCAGAGATGTTGAGGATACCTTAACAGATTCCAGCAGCTTTGAAGTACATAGGTATAGGTTAAGTTACCAGGGTGGAATCAGCATATGAGTGGCTGGCAGGGTAGGGATGCAAGTCCTAATACACAGCACTGAATATCTGAGGATAGTAAAGCAAGCAGCGATCTGTAATCTATCCCTCTATCCCTCACCGGCGTGGTTCCTTGCTCTACTTTAGCTACTTGCAAAATACACACCAACCCCAGCAGGGCACTGCCCGTACTAAAGATGGCCAATGAGGACATTTAGGGCTGCTGTGTCCAATCAGACCACAGTGCCCCTGATTACACCTACAGAGGCCACAGAGGAACAATGTTCCTCTTAGTCTCCACTCCTCCCTGCACAGCACACAGTGCCACCTACAGCATGGAGGATATACTACACCTGCCTACATGCTGTCTGTATTAGAAGTGCAACAGTGTGGAGGGAGCCGCTTTATGAATCCCCATGACTGTCTCCAAACTCCTGAATGAGCATAACAGTGCCAAGAGCACATACCTCAAAGTTCTCAAATTCAATAGTAAGGTACACAAGGGCTCTGTTAGGTTATGCAGGAGACGGCTAGAAGAATGCTGTGACATTCGCAGCTCTTTGAAGTGGGACACAGTATACAGTAGTAACGTAGCTTTAATGATGGCAAAACTAGATTAGGTTTTTGCATGCCAGCTCATAGCCAAAAGGACTTGATAAGTAATGAAATATATGCGTCTCTGATACCACAGTGTTAGCCTGAGATGATTATGTACTATTTGAGATACAGCAATTGATGTATCTTAGAGTCACACAGTTGACAGTCTGGAGGAGGAGTCCAGTTATGCATGGATTGATGCACAGCCATCTTTGTTATACCAAGGGTGATATTTTAGACTGTACTGCAATGGATGGACGGTCTCAATAATGCCTTATGGAAAGGCTTTGTGTAAAGATATTATACCACGGAGAGAGTCTTGTAGGGCCTATGAGGATTGTCTTTACCGACATTTGAACTTATTGGAAACTCCAGTGTACCCTCAGGCACAGTCTTTTTAGCCAAGGTATTTGATACCTGTTGTAGATGATGCATACTGCTAGCCTATAGTGACAGATGGCTGCAACAAAATGTATCTCCTTGAAGCATTGAATATATGCATTCTGAGTACTGCCTACAGGCCTCGAGGAGAAGGAACAAAGGCTACGATGAAAATGAGTACAAAAAAACTCTATAACGCATAGTTTATTAGGGGGGTTTAGATTGGAGCTATGATGAAATAAATATATTTAGGAACTGACTGGCAGATTTTCTCAATAGTAATGACTACCAAGTTAAGGTGTTACTAAGCCCGCAACAGTAAAATCAGTCTGTATATGTGGTAAAGAATGCTTGTTATACTCACTGTGGAAGCTAAGGGGTTAATCCTCAGCATTGTGTGAAAAGGATGTTTGATCCTGTCTTCTCTGATCCTCCCCTTGTTCCACAGTCCCCAATCTATCTGCTGATAGCACAGAGCCTTGGGGGCAAGCTGTTCATGCTCACTTTGATGTGTATTGCTAGAGAGTTTTTTTTTCTTGGGAGAGAGAAAGTGATCAGCACAAGGCCAATCAGCACTGTCCAGACAGAGAGTCAGGGGTTATGCCCAAGAATACTGCAATAAAAAAGTTACATTAGATTTTATAAACAGTCCTCTTCCTTTTGGCATGCACATGCACATTGTAGCCAAAGAGGGCTGTACTGCTTTACATTTAGGTATATTTCCTCTATTTGAAAAATAGTTTCTGCATTACTTTTCCACCACTTCAGTGCGATTTAACTCTCCTACACAAGGTAAATTGCACTGAAATCGCATCTGTGTCTTTATCATCGGTATGAACCAGGGCTTAGCTTTTATCCACAAGTATTTTTTACAGGTGTAGCACTACCCCTTAGGAACCGCTAGATTTGGGTCTCCCTATATTCCTGCACAGCCAGGCACTATGCATCTTCACACAGGCTTGCATCCAGAGTCAGAGATCAGCCATTGAGCTTTGGTTTTGTTGTTTTATTTAGGGGATTTAAACTAGGATAGAGTTTGGGGTGTACAGGATGCCCAAGGAAACAGATAAAATAAGGACAACTTCTTGGAACTATTTACAAGCCTTCTCTGCAGCACAGTCTCTGTTGGAGAGCTAGCCAGTGTCTTCTTAATGTACCACGCCAGATCCTAGATGAACTCCTCTTCTTCATCCAGCAATCTGGAGGTATTGTGAGATGGGGAAACAGCTCTCATTGTTTGAACATTGTTTGTGCGGAAGTAAATTAATGTTTTGACTGACATTCTGCGGTTTAGCCACAAGATGTTACCGTTTTTTCTAACACAGCCTCAGACTGCATAGATATTTGTATATTCATGAAGAGATGGGGTTTTGCACACAGGGTTGGAGAGAACAGGAAGGGGAGAGAGAAGCCATGTTTTGGAGCATGGTGAATAGGGGGCCGTGTGAGCTGAGAATCTGATGACATCCAGGAGTGAAAGCGTCCCTCAGTAACCAGAGATTGCTGCCAGGAATGCTGATGAGATTGCTGCCAGGAAGCTGATGAGATTGCTTCTAGGAAGGCTCATGAGAGCAGAGGAACTAAGCAACATATACGGCAAGACCGCATGCTTGTTGGAGAGACATTTGTTCTATTCAGAGTCACCAGCAGATGCAAAGCAGACCCGGGTCGGTAAGATTGTGCACGCACCTCATTTCAGTGTTGGCGCCTTGAGACTGAGTCCAGGCCTATAGTTAGTTAGTTAGGGTCTCTGTTTGTGTCAGGCCACAAGTGTTGTTACTGATTATTGGAAGGACTCCACAACTTAAAGTGACATTTCACATTGGAGAGCTGATAAAATCCTACAAACTCAAGCCAGACTGGCGTTTTGCTCAGAAAGAATACTCAGGCATGTGCTACAGGACCAGTTATGGGAGGGGGAATACTGTAGATTTGTGTAAGATTGTAAGCTGTTGTGCTGCACCGCAGGCTAGCCCATACTGTACACCCATACACTGATTCCTGCTCTTTTAGGGTAATAACAGGTAGGGTGTGGCAGCTTATTTGTGCCCGCCAATAGGTAAATTACTTCACTTTCTACCTTCATCCATCAGAAGGCGCCGTGCTGTGCAGCACAAGGGTCTCAGCCTTTGGGCTGGGTGTATGTAAATTTATTGTATGTTCTCAGCATTTGTGGTTGTGTTTATTTGCCACATCTAAGTAAAATTCTGTTGCGGCAAAAGCTGGTGTTGGGGTTGCTTTCTTCGTTCGTGACTTCACTGTATCCTGGGGAGCCCACCCCGGTACACGGCTTACAGTATCCCTGAACAGGGGATCTGGTGCCTGTTACTTTAAAAGTGGTCAGTCCCAAGAAGGCAGCGAATCTGGTTTCCTACAGGAGTGCTCCATCCCCTATCCACCCAGGGGGTGCAGGGATACTCATTCAGATTCTCTTCTGTACTGCTGGTGGGTTGGTGGCTGCTACCAGGCCTATCAGCTGGCCCGCTCTTTCCCTGCCATACAGATGGTCCTCGCTCTGGGGGCCAGTGGAACTCTGAGCTTCTCCCTTTCCAGCTTCAGGCCTGCAGGTGGGACCCATTACATGGAGCTACCTCGCAGCCTCCTGCCTTCAGGCCTTCAGCCTCATGTCTTCCTCACTGTCTTCAACCCGAACTATTCTGCAACTGAGCAGACTACAACACTTTTAAAGGTGTCCTGGCCCCGTTTCCAACCTCCTGTTGGGGATTGGCCATGATCCCTCAAGAGTGCAAGCCAGCTACTCCTTGGGTTTCCACCCACTCCCTCTAGGGCCTTCCTTGAAAGCCCTAGGGCAAGGGGAAATTCCAGAGGGGCCGACTTGCAGAGCCTCTCAGCTCCTGACCACAATTTGACCTTCTGACTATTAGGAGGGTGCTACACAGGTTTAATTCACTGTTTTTCAGGCAAGTTCTAGTACTGTCAGGAAGTTCAAGAGCTTTGCTGGTTCAAAACTGCCTGGCAATCAGGTATGAAGTGAGAAATAAGAGCTGATGCAGGGAATATGCAGGCAACTCTATATGCCAACACTTTATACCAGGGGTCTCCAAAGTTTCTAAACACGGGGCCAGTTTACTGTCCTTTAAACTTTAGGGAGACTGGACTTTGGCCAGTGGGAGTAAACAATATCAGTGGGAGGAATAGTCACCCCATCATTGGTATCAGTCAGAGGAATAGTGTCCCATCATTGGTAATGTAAGTGGGAGGAACAGTGCCTCATTATTGGTGTCAGTGGGAGGAATAGTGCCCCACCATTGGTGTCAGTTGGTGGAATAGTGCCTCATCATTGGTGTCAGTGGGAGGAATAGTGCCCCATCATTGGTAATGTCAGTGGGAGGAATAGTGCCCCATCATTGGTATCAGTGGGGGGAATAGTGTCCCATTGTTCGTGTCAGTGGGAGATATAGTGCTTCATTATTGGTATTAATGTGAGGGGTAATGCTCCCTTGGTGTCAGTGGCAAGAATTATGCCCCCATTGTTGGTATCAGTGGGAGAAGTAGAGCCCCAAAGGTCAGATAAACGCAAGCAAAGGGCCATATCTGGCCACCGGTCCGCAGTTTGGAGACTACTGCTGTATACTACATTGTAAACTAGATAAAATGGATATAAGGGATTTCCGGTCACATCCCTGATATTTTTGCAGAATAGGTTAGGGCCTAAGTGTCCTTAACCCTAGGTTCACACCTATGTGGATTTCAGTGCATTTTCCAGTTTGCAGAAATGCACTACAGTCCATTTAACATGCTTTTCTATGGATCTGGTTCACATCTGTGCGTTTTGAGCCAGTGTGTTTTTTGGGTAGGGCCAGTGACTTTTCTTCCAGCAGCAGATTGTGTTTTGCGTGTAATAGACGTCAATGGACCCGCACCAAAAATACAAGTGTTGCATTTTTTTATGCATTTTGTGGGTTTTTTTTTGCCCATATCAAAGTATTGATTTTGATGTGACTTGAATGCGACTTTGATGTGACTTTGGATGGGTGAGATTTTTATGCAACTTTGGATGGATGCGACTTTGATGTGACTTGAAGTCACACCAAAGTTACACCCATTCAAAGTTGAATTCAAGTTGCACCCATCCAAAGTGGCATAAAAATGTCAATACTACCATACTGGCAAAAAAAAAAAAAACACAAAGAAACCCCAAAACACATCAAAAACGTGAGTTCAAAAACACAAAACATACTGTGAAATTGCACAATCCGCAATCCACATAGATGTAAACCTAGCCTTACTCAAATCTGAGCCTATGCTGGCAGGCAATGTCATATTCAGCAGTCCAAAGGCAGGTATAGGTGCACAGCCAGAATACAGTTACCCATGGTGATCAAAGGGTGTATATGAATTTCAGTAGAAAACCTTAATAAAACTCAGCAATCTGTAGAAAAGCTGCAATAAGAAAAGATAATGAAAACACATAAAACAAAGAGGCCTTAAATTAAAAATGAAAACAATTATTTTCCTGCTCTCTCCTCATAGCCTGCTCAGTCTGTTTAGATAGGCATCTCATCTCATTGCAGGAACACCTCTGCTTGTGCTGTTCTGATTAGATTTGGCAGCTTTCTCTTAGTACGCAGTGCAAGGGAAATATGATGAAGTCATCTTCCAGCCACTGCCAAGCTGTCGTCATATTATTTGAATACAGATGCTTGTCTACATAACAGCATTTCCCACTTCTTTTCACTAACCTTGGTATACACACCGTACAAAAGGAACACACCGTACAGTGATGCAATGATGGCTTTCAAGGTACACAATACAAACGCTGAACAAATGATACATATTCCAGTCCAGGGGCGGACTGACAACTCATGGGGCCCCCGGGCAATAGGGGATCATGGGGCCCCTGTGTCCTTGCCCAAACTCAAAAAAGCCTATGAAAAAGGTACCAGGGGCATCTCATGGGGCCCCCTACTGACCCCGGGCCCTCGGGCAGTGCCCGAGTTTCCAAATGGTCAGTCCGCCCCTGTTCCAGTCACACTAGGACATAGATGCTATACTTATGGTGGCCATACAAGCTTCAATTCGTTATTCTCATTGATGTACATTTTGATCAAAATTATCAAATCTGCAAATAGCCACAACTTCCCTTCCAATCGATTTAGACTCAGTTTTGATCAGATTTGATCAAAAATTAGTCGATTGGCCAGGGAAAACTTTTATTGATTGTTTTGTATCAATCTGCAGCACTGAGATACTTTGGTTATGAATACAATCATATTTCCATTGATTAGATTATGAGATTAAATGGTAGCAAACAGAGATGAGATTGATAACTTACTATAGTGAGTTAGGATCAGATCTTAACTAATAATCGAAATCTACTTCCCCGTGTATGGCATATTGATCAAATGGGTTCTTGACTATAGATCAATTATTCCTATTAGAAAAGATCAATCAAAAAATAAACTGATAATTTATTAAAGAGTGTATGGCCACCAATAGAGATTTGCACATGTAACGCCCTCCAGGATAGCTAGCTGTTTTTTTTTTGTTAGTTAGAGGCTGAGTAGCAACCTGGGATGCTTAGCTTGTGAATGAGGTTATCTCAAGACAGGCTATGGGGGTTCTAAAGGTTAGAACTTTTGAAGCTCTCCCACCTCTCCAGAATCTTGAGAGTTTTCTGGAGGAGAGATGGAGGGGGGAGGGGAGAAAGCTTTGATTTGCATGCTTGCGGGACCTTGGCAAATCCCCTAGTAGGAGGCTGGACATGGTGACCAAGGCAACCTTTAAGAATCACAGAGCCTGGGAGTAGCAGGTCAGTGTTGGGTGGAAGATGGAGTGAGAGGCTGGAGCATGGAACTTGGGAGGGGGATCAGGGAAGGGGCCTACCTACAGGCAGGTGTTGCATAAGGGGATCTCCACTGTACCATCGTCTACCAGAAGGGACTATGGGAACAGCAGGGAAAGAGCCAGTCCAGTGGAAGGCCTGAAGGCAGCTACCAACCCATTCAGCTATCAGGAAGGACAGTGTGAGTACTCTTACATCCCTTGAGCCAGATAAGGGGAGAGGGCAGTCAGGTGGAGAACCCAACTAGCTCCTCAGCTGGGACTGTTTACGTTGGAAGTTTCTGGGTCCCCTTGCCCAGGGAATTCCCTTAGTACAGCTGGGTGAAGAGGAGGATTCATCTGGGGTATGAGAAGGTACACCAGAGAGCTGGAGTGCTCTTATAGAAGAGAAGTCTTTTCTTTTTGTCCATAGACATAGTTACTAAGGAGTTGTCCTCACAGTTCACAATTCCTTGGGCATCCCATGCATCCCTCAACCGTATCCAAGTGCAATACAGCTTAATAAAACTACAAAAACAAGCCTAAAGACTGGTGACTGTCTCCAGTGTGCAAGTGTGGAAAAAGAAAATGCGTGTTGCCTGGCTGTGCAGAGCTATAGGGGGACCCAAAAATCAGTGACTCCTAAGGTGGTAGTGCTACACATAGTTTATTTTAGAATTGTGCTTCAAACAATGGCCTACCAAATAAAGTCAGATCTTGTAGAGTCTGCCATTGAATTAGGTAGTTAGATGTGCACATATAATTCAATTATGTTTTGATGTCATTTGGCCCAACCTCCACCTGCAAAAACATCTCTATTCACACAGGAAATGTGGCTAGATTTCCTCATAAGGTTAGGATATACTGATCCTCCCCCTTTTCCACAGTCCCCAGTCCATCTGCTGATAGCACAGAGCATTGGGTTCAAGCTGCTCGTGCTCACTTTCATGTGTATTGCTAGAGAGTTGATATTTTTCTTAGGAGAGTGCATGCAGGGTCCTGAGTTTAGTAACACTTTAAGTTATTAGAGCACGTCGTTCCACCATCTACTGTCCGTCTAGCTTTGGTGCCTGCCCAGGGGAGCCCCTATGTTACCAAAATGTGCATAAATAAGGTGCTTTTTATTGAATTAATATATGTGATACACAGTATTATTTTTTTTTATATTCACATTGTTTTCTTATTATATATGACTTTTTCATTTATGCATATTTTAGTGAATTTTGGTGCTGAACTCTCATGTGTCCTGAAGAAACTAATAAAGAGAAACACGTTGACTCATGAGGGCTCACGATCTCACCACACAATTATCCAACAAATTGTGTATTGATATGATACCAATAGTGGGCATAGTAAGTCAGCAGATGCATTAATCATGAAATTATGCACATATTGTTTTTAATATATATCTCAGCTTAAATGATAAGCTGTTTTAACCGCTTCCCCACCGCCCTATAGCAGATATACTGCTACAGGGCGGCAGGGGTGCGCAAAATCACATACATACATTTCCAGGTGGGTTCCCCCCAGTGTTAGAATGTCTGCTGCAGTCCCGCAGTCCTGCTAAAAGTCGCTGATCGCCACCATTACTAGTAGAAAAAAAAAAAAAAAAAAAAAACAGTATCTATACTGCCATTTGTAAACACTATAACTTTCACGTAAACCAATTAATTTACATGTATTGGGATTTGTTTTAGCAAAGACATGTATCAGAATACTGTACATTTTGTCATAAATTTATGACGAAATTAGATTTTTTAATTTTTTTACTGGACATGTTTAATAGCAAAAAGTCCAAAATATAGTTTTTTTCTCAAATTTGTTGGTCTTTTTTTCTTTTATAGCGCAAAAAATATAAAAACCGCACAGGCGATCAAATACCACCAAAAGAAAGCTCAATTCGTGGGAAAAAAATGGACTTCAATTTAATTTGGGTGCAGCGTTGCATGAGCACGGAATTGTCAGTTAAAATAACACAATGCTGTAACGCAAAAAATGGCCTGGTCAGGAAGGGGGGTAAATTCTCTGGAGGGTAAGTGGTTAATATGGTTGTAAATAAACATTATATTTTATGAAGTATTGTCAAGTTCCCTTTTTCATTGCCAGTAGAGTAAATTATAAATGTTTTTCTTTTTTTGGTTTCATTGGAAAGATATCATCTCCCTTGTTAAATCTAAAGGACAGGAAGTGAATGGAAATCCTCCTAATGTAACACTTTCTAATCAGTTGAAAAAAACCCCAGCAGCTTTAACCCTCCCTACAGTATCCAAAATGAAAAAGAGTTTTGCCTTTTAAAACCCAACTCCAATAGTCTGACACATTCTATCTTCGCTCTCCCAACTGTGGTTACAATTCCTGACTCCTCCTACAATGCAGGGTTGATAGCCCTGCATTGTATGTGATGATGCTGAGGTTCCGCTGAAGGGAGAGAAGGACAGTGATGGAGCTGGACAGAGCAGCATATAGATTTAGTAATGCAACCTCTTCAGCCCCCCCTCTACCTGACAAACATTTAACCCATGCAGTGCAGGGGACCCTATGGCAAGGATAGATTTTGTCTAATTCTTAGAGTTGGGCTTTTCCAAGCTGCCAGGGACACAAGATGGCAGATAAGCAAAGAAAAAGAAGTGGAAGGAACAAAAGTATACTGTTCTGGATCGTGGCATCAATACACAAATATGATTTACTGACAATGGTCCTGTTTATATAATATACCAACATTGTATCATTCTGGTAAAAAGTGTAATAATGAAATAAGAGTATGGGGGGGGGGGGCTACAGAAAAGCTCCACGACTATAATTCTTGAAAGAAAATTTATACTGAAAAAATGCAGGCAGGGAAAATCATTTAAAAACCAGGGGAAGGCAGCCCAAATAGTTTTTTTTTATACAAGTTCTATTTAAAAGGGGGACCTATCATTATAGTTGTAACTAGAGATGCGAAATTTTTTTCCAAAAAAATTTGATTCGGCCCGATTCGGGCAATTCCAGTGTTTAAATTCGATTCGATGCGAATTTTTTTTTCGCTAACGAAGAAGACTTATAAAAAGGGTTTCTAGGCTTTAGAAGCCTTTAAATTAAAAGGGAGAACACTGTACCCCTTTAAAAATTTTAAAAGCCCTTGGAAAATGAGGAAAGAGAAGGAGAAGGGAGAAGGAGAAAGGAGAGAAAAAAAGGGGAAAAGGGTGAGAATAAGGAAGGGAAAGGGGAAAGGGAAAAAAAAAGGGGGAAGGAGAAGGGTGAGAAAAGGAAAAGGAGAAAAGGGTTTAAAAAAGGAGAAGGAAAAAAGGGAGAAGGAGAAAGAGAAAAGAAGGAAAGGAAGAAGGAAAGAAGGGTGAGAAGAAAAGGGGAAAAAAGAAGGGAAATTTAGAAGAAAGGGGAAAAATGAGAAGAAAAGAAGGATTAGAAGGGAGAAAGGGTGAAAAGAAGGAGAAGGGGAAGGGTGAAAAAGAAAGGGGAAAAAGAAGGATGAGAAAAGGAAAGGATGAGAAGAAAAGGGGGAGAAGGGTAAAAAGAAAGGGGAAAGAAAAGGGTAAAAAGAAGGGGAAGGATGAGAAAGAAGGAAGAAAGAAAAAGGGGAAAGGGTGAAAGAAGGAGAAGGAAGGAAAATGAAAAAGAAGGAGAAGGAAAGAGAAAAGGAGAAGGAAAAGAGAAAAAAGGAGAAAGGAGAAAGATGGGGAAGAAGGAGAAAGGGTGAGAAAAGGAAAGGATGGGGAAGAAGGGTGAGAAAAGGGAAAGAGAAAAAAAGGAGAAGGAGAAAGGGTAGAAGAAGGGGGAAAGGAAGAAGAAGGAGAAGGATGAAAAGAAGGATGAGAAAAAAGGGAAGGATGAAAGAAGGAGAAGGATGGGGAAAAAGGGAAAGGGTGAGAAAAACGGGGAAGGGGAAGGAGAAGCAGAAAGGAGAAGGATGAAAGAAAGGGAAAAGGAAAAAGGTTTAGAAAATGGGGAAGGAAAAAGGATGAGAAGAAGGAGAAAGGGGAAAGGGTGAAAAAGAAGGAAAAAGGGGAAGGAAAGAGAAGAAAGGGGAAAAGGGGAAAAGGAAAGAGAAGAAAAGGGGAAGGATGAGAAGAAAAGGGTGATAAGGGGAAAGGGGAAGGATAGAAAAAGGAGAAGGATGAGAAGAAGAAGGAGAAGGGTGAGAAGAAGGGGGAAGGATGAGAAGAAGGAGAAGGGGAAAAAAGGAAAAAGGAGAAAAGGGTGAGAAAAGGAGA